TTTTTTGGGATGAGGGGTTGAGGCTACACCCTCGACCTGTGAATATAATGGCTCAGCTAGGGCTAAAAAAGTCAATGGTCTACATCCAAGTCGGAAATACATAGAGCAACATCAAAGGCAGAGAAAATAAAAAATAAAATAAAAATAAAAATAAAAATAAAAATACAAGGATCACAAAAATATCCGTTGTGGGTCTAAAATCAAATCCTCATAAAAGGTCGTCCTGGTCAGAGTGACCTAGCATGGAGTCCAAAATGTCAAATCTAGTCAGGGGCAGGAGGTGGCGGTCGACCGAATATGAAGGACTACGTAACCAGCGTCGATGAGCTCACAATCCAATACAGCATGCGAGAAATCTAAGATCTCCGCAGAGCGGTCCGATATACCACCAATGCGTTCATCGGGATGCAAGAATATGTTGAAATCACCGCTAATCATCCACGGTAATCCCTCCATACTCTCAGCAATCTCACGCATGGTGTCCCAGAGGTCATAGCGACCAACTCTCGCACAGCTGGCGTAAACCAAAGTGTGGAAGATCGGCTCCGGAAGATGGGCGGCGGTGAGCTTCACGTGCAAGACTTGATCAGTATCTCGAAGGATCTGACAAGTAAAGTCACGCGAGTGGAAAAACCAAATCTTGTTAGAGGTGTTTCCCATCCCGGCATGAAAACCAAAGCGTTGTGAATATGCGTCAAAAGAAAGGTCACGAGTCATAGACTCTAAGAAAGCCGCAAAGTCAAGGTTATGCTCACGAATAAAAGATCTAACATGAGCATGGGTGGTCCTATTAGCCAGACCACGGGCATTCTATGTAAGCGATGTGACTGACATGTCAAACGTCAGTGGGACCGCCTAACTGGAGCTGTCTGTGGTTAGGCTGTGTCTGTATGTCTGATACGGTCAGAGCTCTGCTAGCAGAGAGCTGTGCAGTCATCGATTTGGTTTGTGGTCTTCTGTGCTCTGGGATCTCCTGTAAAGGTCCCCCTCGTATAGGGGGATACTCCTGGGGTAAGAGGATGAACTGTAGGTGCTCCAAGCCCTCGGAGCTCTGCGCCTGGCCCTGTGGGGAAGACGGACCCGACCCGCTAGCGGGGGATGAGGGGAAAGTGGAAGGGAGGGTCAGAATGGGTCGAGCTGGTGGGCGGGGGAGAGAGGCAAAGTGGGGGGAGTGCTCTACTATCATGAGAGCTGAGGAGGGAGGGGGAGCCTCGATACACAATGGGATGGCAATAGTCTCTATCTCCTCCACTAATAGATGATCATCATCAAACGGGGAGTTGGTCGATGCTCCCAGATGGTCAGAGGAAATGTGAAACTCCTCCTCCGACTCCGAGTCAAGCACGGAGAAGCGGGAGTGGGTAGCTATGGGAGCTGACTGGAGGGACTGGTGGGGGAAGAGGCCTGTAGCTTTGGCTTTAGGCTTATCAAGGTTAACCTCCTTGGGCTGTGCGCCCTCAAAGGTGACCTTGCCCTTGCCCTTTTGTCCCTTCGGGTCGGGGCCGTGGGCCGGGGCCTTGCCCTTCTCCTTAGGGCTCCTCGGGGCGATGGTAGAACCCTGCCTCGCTATACGTCAACGAGGGGGCAAAGCAGGTTGGGGCTTGTCGCCCTTGGTGTAGCATTCTGCAACCCCATGTCCCACATGACTGCATAGAGACCAGAACGGTGGTACTCTCTCGTAGACCACTTTCTGAATAGTGGTCTTGCCCGCTTGATCAAGCTCAATCTCTTTGATGAGCTCGTCCCTAAGATCAATCTCTACGCACACCCGTGCGACAAAAAGTCTCGATCGGTTAGCCGTAGCGGCGTCAGTCTCAATGGGGTTGCCAATGCAACTGGCAATCGAGAAGAGGGCAGAAGGATCGAAAAGATGAGGAAGAAGACCCGGTAGGTAGCACCATACCGGGACAATGAGGGATTCCTCAACAAAAGAGAAATTAGGGGTGTATTTAAACACCTGACCCGAACACCCAAAGATATTGAGGTGCGTCTTAATCCAAACAGAGTTGTAGTCCTCTTTCAACTCAAAAAAGAGTAAACAGTGATTATAATTAAGGAACTTAGGAGACACTCTACCCTTGAAACCCAATTTGTCCAGACCGACAGATAAATCCCGGAGGGAAGGGACAATGAAGGAAAACTTCAAATGAGTGCATTATCATACGGCCCAACTAGGGAAATAATAGTGGGCTCAGGGAAACTTACCTTGAACCTGCCCTCCTCGGAGTGGGTGACAGTCCCCCTCTGCTTGTCCCGAAATGACTCCAACGTGAGTCTCTGCTTTTCCAGTTTGGTGGTGGGAAGGGGTCGGAAACCGCATCCCGAAATGATCGTGCTCCGTAAGGGTGAGAGCTTTGGGTCGCCGTATGTGTAGAGTGGGTGTTCATGCTCGGCCCTTGGGCAGCGCCGCTCCTTGGCAGCCGCTCGCTGAAATCCATAACGTTGATGAACATGGTGGCCTCCGGTGGTGAAACGACTATCGAAGAGGGTCCGCCGCCTAAAATCTCGACCGTCAACAAGGGGGTTGGGCCATTGCCAGTGCAGGTCAAGTTGAGGTGACCAAGTCCGGCAGTAGTGGGGGACTGGCCGTGCTGGGAGGATTCCGTTGGGTAGCCAGACGGCATGCCGGAAAATGAGCTTACAAGAAGTGGGGCTGACGCGGTATGGGAACTTCCCGTCTGAAGGCTGTCGTCGCCGGCGCCGGAGCCGGAGGTTGGGGCGCCGACCGGCGGCAAGAAGTCTGGGGTGGTCGTCGCCGACGTGTGGCAGGTGGTTCGGCGTTCAGTCTGGAACATGGACGAAGACGATGAGTGGTGATAGTTGGGCTTGAGCAAAGGGATTGGGCCTGGTGGGCTGGTCAGGGTGAGAGAAGGGTGGGATGGTGAATTGGGGAGAGAGGAGAGATGGGCCAGGGGGCGGCCCACGTGAGATGAGGGAGGGTTCAGAGTTGGGCCTTGGCAAAGGCCCAATTAAGTGGTCCACATAAGGTTGAGCTGTGGGAAAAGAGGATTGTGAAAGGATAAGGTTTGGTTGTTCTGCCGCCGAGCGAGGGGCAAAATCTGGCGGAGGAGATAGGTGACCCTCCGGGAAGGGGCCAAAATGAGTCGGCCGTGGGATTCCAGCAGCTTGACATGTCGGTGCGACGGGGCCGGAAGGTGGGACCGAGTGGGCGTCGCTGGAAAATTGACCTCCATGGCTGGACGGGTCTGCAGCTCGAGATGGGTGGAATTTCTCTGTCACGTGAAATACTGATTTGACTGACTTCTTGAGTTTGTTTGACCAGGAGTTAATTTTCTCGTGAAAGTCATCGGAAATCAAATTGATTTGTCTGGCGGAGAGCTTCATGGGAGATGGGTGTTTGGTGCTCGGAGATGGGGGAGAAGGAGGGAGAGAAAAAAGGAAGAAGAGGGCAGAGCTAGGCCCCATAGGTCCGGCCGGCTTGCCGCCGGCAACCACTGGCAAAATGGACGGAGATGGTGATTGATTGGTAGGGGGAGGATGGGGTTTCTAGAGAGAGAGTGTTGGAGAGATGTTTTTCTTTGTTTTATGTATTATCTATTTTTCTCCTCTGTTTTTCTTCTATGTTTTTTTTTTTTTCTTCTTCTCATACAGCTTCAGAAGTGTATTTATATACAGAAAATGCTACAAGTACATAATAAATGTACATAGAAGTATACATAACACTCACATGGAGTAGGGTCTACTTGATTTTTTATTTTTGGTAGGTCCCACTCTGATATAGCATAAGAGATTAGCTCCGCGAAACCGGACAAAAAGCAGCCTAATTCACGGACCGGGTAGAAACTAGTTTGATCTGAGAACCAGGGGACGCCAACAGCTCAACTTTCGTAATACAACAGCTAATGATAGTTCGACCTTATGATAACTACTCGAATTCAAGGAAGGAGCTCATCTCAATTGTAATAGCTCGACCTAGTAGCAGTTGGGCCGAATGTAACTTGGCCCAAGAGCAGTTAGGTTACCTATATAGCTCGGCCTTCATGATGAAGGGGCTTGTAATGCTCGACATTATAACAGCTCGACCTATTGAGGGTGTCAATAGGTCGGCCCAATGAAGATACCAGCAGCTCGGCTAAGCTAACATGCTCGGCCAAGACTAGCGGCTTGATTATGACCATAGCTCGGTGAACTGGCGAGGGCTTGCTCGGGTTACGAGCAAGTCAATTAGTCCAGGAGCTCAAAAGTTAGCACTTCTGAATTAGGACAAGGGCCGACAAGTGGGGGAGTCATGAAGTGTATTCTATGAGGGACGCGTGTAGCATTATGATCAAAATAAAATAAGTGATCTGACGAGTGAAAAGCAAAGCGTATGGAAAAAATTAAACAACTTCATATAAATAGGTAAATGAATGGAGGAGGTAAGGGTAATCACACTCTACAAACCCTAATACTACTTAGAGTTACATACAACTTTCTTCTATTTTTTACTGACTTGAGCGTCGGAGGTTTAACGCCAGGAGCACCTCTCGGCATCGGCGTATTTGCAGGTCTTTGGGAGCATCGAACGGTTGAGAATTAGAGAAAGGCCGGTTCGAGGTGCCGGAGCATATCACACTCAATGTGAGTGTAATGTACACATGTATGTACATTATCATGTATTTATTGCATTTCACTCTATATACACATGGGCTTTGTCATTTTTGTTATACCACAAATACTCGAACCGCTGGACCGCTCCTCTCGAACCGGGTTGCGTCTCCCTGATCGTTGGTACCTGCAAAGCACGCCGGGGGTGGTCCCGGCGCGAACACTCCGACGCTCAAGTCAGTGATGGTCCAGAGAGAAAACGGCAGAGTAACGAGATAGTTCGTGAATGTGTGTTGTGTAAAATGAATGAACCTGCTCCTTTTTATAGGAGAATTTTTGGAGAGTCCTAGTGGGATAAGAAGTCTTTCTTGTATGAACTACTTAATTAGATCAAGAACACCCTGAATTGCAAGAGTCCTTGTTGCCACCAACTCCTTTGTAATTTGATCTCGAAGCCATCCTCAGGTTCTAGCCCCTTCGACGGCATGCGAGGGCCGCCAAACACACGAGGGCCGCCGGGCACCTCCCTTGGCCGAGCACTCTCCCACAACGGGCACTCGCCCACGCCGAACATTCACCCTACGCCGGGCACTCATCATACCGGACGATGCCGCGCCAGACACTCCATCCCGACCACCTCCAATGCCGAGCACTTGAGGGGCGCCGAACACCGTGCGACGCCGAGCACTCCCAACCGCCGACTACCATAATACTTAACCGGTCCCCTTCATATGGACAATGATGACCGAATCACAACCGGTTCTTCACGAGCCACTACTAACGACCATATCAATTTTGATCAAGTGGGAGAGGACAAAAAAGTTGATTTTGGCTAGTGGGAGTGGACAAGAGTGAAGATAGAAATTAACAAAAATTACATTGTTTCACGCAATCAATTGAATTGACTGGTACAAAGTGGGACTCCACATTCAATTACACTCAACTTTCTCAAATAATTCACTGATTGCACCAAATTAAATATAAATACATAAAAAATTGTTGCAAAACCAAAAATCGGGCCAAGCCGTGCATTTCAATACGGTCCTTATAAGTGTGTATTGATCTGACGACTCAGACTGGACACTAAGATCAAATCGTCCATGCAAAGGTTGAATGTGTTATAATTGGCCATTGCAAGATTCTAGATCTAAATCATAGTCATTTATGATGTAGTGCCACACCTCAATCTGAGCCGTTAGATCAAAGCAAGCCCAGCGTGTATTGATCCGACGGCTCAGAATGCGCAGTAGAATCGAATCTCCATGCTGAATGTGTGATATAATATACTTTCATGAGCAAGATTCTAAGAACCAAATTATGTCTGTCAATAGAAATGGCAACTTAAGTTTAACAACTAGTGATAAGTGTAATGTGTGAAAAGATGTACTCTCCAACACAATTATAAGTGTAAGACGAATAAAGAATATAGTTAAATCTTTTGTTAGGTCCCATGTATTTAACCTCGTAAATAATTGAGTCATTAGTCAGATAAATGATAGTTTGACACCAAAAAGCATAATATTGCCCGGAGAGTGAGAGATTTTAGAAACTGTTTTTTGTTCCCTAAGATTTAATGGATGACAAGTGAAGAAAACAAATTAATAAATAGCCAATGATTAAGTATAATTAAAACATAATCAAAATATAAATACGTATTTTCGTTCAACAAATATAACATATTTATCCGTCTAATAGCAACATTTGTGACATGCCCATCTTAAAATTGAACACAACGATTTAATATCGTCCAGAAATTCTATGGGGCCTTCGGATAGCTCCCTTATGAAGTCATCTATAAGTTTATGTACTGACACATGCCTAATGTGCATTTCATTCGGGACACGTGTCAATACATCATATATGAATAACAATGGATGACTCCATAAGTCCAGCCATCCGATGTCTCCATAACAAAACCGTAACATCGTTATTCCATAAGTAACCTAAAGAGATGCAACTATACCTCAAAAAGCCAAATTTTCTGCCCCATTTTCAAGAGGTTTAACACAGTTTTCCTAAGCATATCATCATTTTCTTCATTATCACTCTAAAGTTCAGCTTGACCAACAGCAACTCAACAGGAAAACGAAACTCCAATACGCATTTTTAGTGTTCCTCTGTAATGAAAACACACTCATTACCTAATAATCTCCTTATTTATAGACCCACACATGAAAAGGCATTTTCAGACACTTAAACTCTAACCCCTAAACCTCATTAAAAAAGGGGGAAAATAAAATAAAATAAAAATGACGTCTCGTTTTGGCATACCGGCTGCCCTGCTGTTCAGCCTCTTAGTTTCGTCACTTTTTCCTGAGCTCGTGTCCTGCAAGACGAGACACTACACGTTCAACGTAAGTAGCATTATCATGCGAAAAAACTTCGGCTGGTGAGAATATATATATATAGAACCGTATTCGATACTATTTCTAATATGCATGGTGCTATCGCATTTTCGCAATGTTATAATAAATTGTGTTGCTATTCTTAATAAAATACATTCTGGTTCAAAATAAAAATAACACCAAAACAGAATTAATCATAGCACTACGTACAATTTGAACCACATTCTATATATGTGTATATATATAGATACACATTGGAAAACCATAATACACTGAAATAATTTAACATTGTTTGATGCTAGATTGTGAGACGTAACTTGACGAGATTGTGCAGCACGAAAAGCATAATTACCGTCAACGGGAAATTTCCTGGGCCAAGGCTCGTTGCAAGAGAAGGCGACCGAGTTCTAGTCAAAGTGGTCAACAACGTGTCAAACAATGTCACGATTCATTGGTATGAAAGAACTAATTAAACACATACATGAAATTAAAAAAAAAAAAAATGTACGGGAAAAAAAAAAACAACAACATAGTTTTGAGTTTTATCTTTTGTGTGTGTTAAATTTTGGCATAAGGCATGGAATACGACAACTTAGAAGCGGATGGGCCGACGGGCCCGCTTATGTCACGCAATGCCCGATTCAAACGGGCCAAAGCTACACTCACAACTTCACGGTTACGGGACAAAGAGGAACCTTGTTTTGGCACGCTCACATTTCGTGGCTTAGGGCCACACTTTACGGGCCAATTATCATCCTCCCCAGACAAAACGAAACTTACCCCTTCAAAAAACCATACAAGGAAGTTACCATGATGTTTGGTAATTTTTAACTAATTAACCATTTAAAGAATTCTCACAACTTTTTCCTATTGCTTATGGATGGTGAAAAAATTTAGATGATTTTGATTTCTTGATAATTTTTAGGGGAGTGGTGGAAAACGGACCCTGAGGCAGTTATCAATCAGGCCCTTCAGACGGGCGGAGGCCCGAACGTTTCGGATGCATACACTATTAACGGGCTTCCCGGGCCCTTGTACAATTGTTCTTCTAAAGGTACAACTATTTAGTTTGGATATGTCAATTTTTATCCGATTGAGTTGTTTCGATTTCGATTTTCTAATTCAAAATCCAACTCAACACAACTCTACTCAATATATTAGCAATATAATTAAATAATATGAATCATCATACTCACACATCATATCAACTTTAATTCACTATTCATTTCACTCACGTAATTTTAACCATCTATCACTCACAATAATATCTCTCATATTTTTACGTCACATCAACTTTAAGAATTACACTTTAATATTATTTAATTACAAATTAAAAATAAACTTTATTCAAAATAACTCACTTTAACCAGTCAATCCAAGTAATCGCTCCCTTAATCTCTTGTCAATTGACTTTGATCTCAAAAATGAGTTCAATGCCAACAACTACTCAAATTTGAAGTGTGGATCTGTTTTAGAAAATACCCTTAATGATGAATCAACTATATTCCAAAATTATACCTATTGATGTTATGTCAATATAAACTTTTTTTTGGGCAAATTGCAAACATTCGGCTGTAAACGAGCTGAGAGTCCTCAACAAGTCAAGCTGAGCTCGGTTTGTCAAATAAACGAGCCTAAAATCGAGCTCGAGCTCGACTCATTTATCATTAATAACGAGTCGAGTTTGAGCTTTAACGAGCCAAACTATAGAAAATTATATAAAAATTATCCTTTCGACCTTATCGAGCCGCTCCAAATGAGCTTTAATGAGCTCGATCTCAGCTCGTTTATCAGCCGAGCCGAGCCAGGCTCGTTTAATTTATCAAGGATAATGATATTCGAGCATGTCAATATATCCAGATACTTTCAGGATTAAGGTGAAGGTCGGGAAAACGTACATGCTTCGTCTGATAAATGCAGCCGTGAACGACGAGCTATTTTTCAGCATAGCTAACCACAGTCTCACCATAGTCGAAGCCGATGCCACGTATGTGAAGCCATTTTCCACGAATGTAATCCTAATAGCCCCGGGCCAAACAACAAACGTCCTACTCCAAACCAAACCTCACCATCCAAACTCGGCCTTCCTCATGGCCGCTAGGCCTTACGTTACCGGCAAGGGCACTTTCGACAATTCAACAGTCGCCGGTTTCCTCGAATACGAGCACCCATCCACAAATACAACCAAAATCTACAAACCCATACTTCCACAAATAAACAACACGATTTTTGTCGCCGATTTCGCCAGCAAATTTCGAAGTTTAAACGACCCGAGACACACTTCATCAACCGCCTTCCCAGAAAAGGTCGATCGGCAATTCTTATTCACAATCGGGCTCGGCACGAGCCCATGTGGGCCCAATGCGAAATGTCAAGGCCCGAACGGGACGAAATTTGCGGCCTCGGTGAACAACGTCTCATTTGCTCTTCCCACGACAGCTCTTCTACAAACTTACTACAAGAAATCAAAATCAAACGGGATACCATCATCGATATACACCGTCGACTTCCCGACCCAACCGTCAAGCCCGTTCAACTACACGGGCCCACCGCCTGAAAACACGAGCGTGGAAAACGGGACCCGACTCGCTGCCCTGGCTTTCAACACGAGTGTAGAGCTCGTTCTTCAGGACACGAGCATTTTGGGTGCCGAGAGCCATCCGCTCCATCTTCACGGCTTTAACTTTTTCGTGGTGGGACAAGGATTCGGAAATTACGACCCGAGAGTGGACCCCACGGGATTCAATCTGGTGGACCCGGTGGAGCGGAATACGGTCGGTGTCCCGTCGGGCGGGTGGGTCGCAATCCGGTTTGTGGCGGATAATCCAGGTGCATATATATATATGGAATTTAACCAAAAATGAGTTAGTATTAATTATTATTATTATTATTATTATTATTATTATTATTATTATTATTATTATTATTATTATCATTATTATTATTATTATTATTATTTTTAAAGTATTATTTATGATGCTAAAATGTTTTTCTTGAACAAATTACCTGACAGGAGTTTGGTTCATGCACTGTCATTTTGACGTGCACACGAGCTGGGGCTTGAGGATGGCCTGGATCGTGTTAGACGGGCCCGAACCGAGTCAAAAGCTTCCACCACCACCATCCGATCTCCCGAGTTGTTGAAGGCGATCGAAATTTGGATCTGAAACGGCTTTTTAATGTTTTTTCGAGCTATAATTTGTTTGAGCTTTCTCACTCGATTATCTTCAGATAATCAAAAAATTGGTCTCAGATGTATCTCATTTTCCAGATATGTATGAATGCAAATCAGAGCCAGACAAGCTCTGAACAGTATAGTATAGTTAGCATATAGCTAAATATAGGCAACAGTCTTATCAGAACATTAACTAAAAAAAAAACACAACATATTTAATATTTTTCACTTCATTATTTTGTTTCTTCGCGCAAAATCCAGAAAGAAAATTGATACAAAAAAGTACAACTTCACCTGATAAGCATTACAAGATCAAAGAGGAAACTGTACATCACTCGAGACTATGAGCGAACATTATTAATCGAACTTGAGATGTTGTATACAATGTTTAGGTTTTACATCATGAGCATTGAAAAGTATTCTTCAAACTCCTGATCGATTGTTTTCGGCTTGCTTCCCTGCCGAGCATCTACACCAGAAGGTACCAAGATTAGTTTTTGCTCATTATAATTATTAAACCAGATTTAAGCAAAAATTAAGAAGTACCTTGATTAACCAACTGGCTTTCCGGAGAAACATCATAATCAAGAACCTCGTCAACATCCTTAACACTAACATGATCCTCTGAAGAGTTATAATACGCACTGTCATTCTCAAATTCGAGCAGATAATCCTCGTAGATATCAGAAAGGTTCAGCCCATAATCACGATAAAGTCGGTGGAGGTCTTTACGAACAGACTCGATTTGAGAGTAACTAATTACTGTTGCATTTGATTTGGTCTCAGAAGGGTTACCTTCCAAATTACCAACTGGAGTAGAAGAGCTCGATTCTGCGTATGACATCACAGTATCGAGACTATTAGCTACACTTAACTTTTCACGAATACCTTCACCTCTTGAAAATGGGTTGGTTTTTTTCACTTGATTATTCCAGCAGATGTGTTTTGCTAGAGGCATTTCGACAAGTTCGGCTTCGATTTTCCTCTTCCTGTTCAAGTAGGCAAATGCTGATTTCGGAAAAGTGAAAAACATAAATTCAAAATTATAAGGTCTAAACACATAATTTTACCAAGTTAGTGATTTAGAAACTCTAGAAAAACAAGTGATTCTCAGCACTTTTCTTTCAAAAGATGAACTTTTTTCCCAACAGATAACAATAAAAATCAACACTTTTAACACTCTTCTACACTGTATGATGTTTTTGTGCCTCAATACAGAATACAGATCCAGCTGCTGCTGTGTTGATTTCTCCAGCTGACATCAAAGCTTTATCAATAAACATGACCATAAAAATCAAGAAAGTTGAAAACTTTCACTAAGCCCATGAAAAAGCAAGCAAACAGAGATCATCAAAATCAAGAAACAAGAGTCTGGTGAAGATAGAAGTGAAAATTTAAAGAACCCATCAAAATTACCTGTTCATTTCATCAGGGCCGATCGTATTTTCCTCCATTAGTGAGCTATAATTAGAAAGAGGTCCCAAAAGCAAGCTTCCTGTTCGTGTTTGTTCTCGCACCTTGGGCAATAATTGAGCTTCTATACATCAAAATAAATGGGCATCAATAAAAATCTTGAGCTGGAAAGTAAAGTGGATGGGTTTATCGGTTCCATTGATGCTCTGCAACGAGGTCCTCGGTTGGGCCCAAGACTCCGCGTTTACTTTATTTATCCGAGTAAATTTCACCTCATACCCATTTTTTTTTTTCGGGCCCTGGTATCGGGGTAATGTTTCGACTAATCCGTTGGTCGACCTTAATATCACACATGGGTGAGTCTCCCAACAAGAGTTTCTTGCATTCACAAGGACTAGAACTCAAAACCTTGTTTAAACAGCATCAAGCTGCTTACCACTTGAACCAACTCATGTTGGTTCACATACCCAATTTTCAACCATTTGATATGGTGATTGCATGTGTTAAATCTATTAATATATAATAAGAATTAACATAATTCACTTTTAGAAATTTTTTCTCGCCAATTTCATTAATTACATGCTAAATTTAGAATGTTAGGACAATTTGGGATAATAAATTAATGAGCATCCATAATTTTAGGAATAAATTGATACGATTTTTATTCACTTTTCAAAATTTGGTTAGATATTGATATATGGAATAAATTGATACATCCAGAATTGTAGGAATAAATTGATACAATCTCAATTTGCTAATATGTAGGC